CTTGCTTATTAAATTTTCTTGATCTTATTTTCTTAAAATTATCTTTTCAATCATTAATTGCAAAATTTTCCTTTTATCTTATTTTTATTAATCAACAATAATTACACAAATCAAAACATGATCCTTGTAGATCAATATTTTTATTACTTGGCGATAATCTGTGCACTTGTGAGTTTTACACATCAATGATGGTGGTGATGTTGATGATATGTGTAAGTTTAGGCAACGAATGATAATGATTAAATCTAAGCAGGACTTGGTATGTTGTACAGAAGTCCAAACTTTTGTAGTATAGAAAAATCACCAAGTGGTCATTACATTGTTGTGATGTGATATTGTTTTGTGTAGAGTTCATGCATTCATACTTATTTTTTGAAAGGTGGTTTAAATCTATGCAAGAAGGTCTCTATGGTTATATACCTAGACCTTAGGGTTGTTATAGTAGGGAGTCTCTAATAAGGGTGTGAGGTAACCATGGTTGATTGTATTGCTTCAATTAGATCTTGATAGATATCTTCTAGTTGAGAGTGAATTGAGAGGATCACTCAATGTGTGGTAATCTAGTCCATGGCTCCTAGATTGCCTTGTGTTGGTGATGAGAAAAAGATTGATACCACATGCATATAGAGTTAAGAGCATTGCATTTCCAGGAGCCTTTAATTGTAACTGATGAGATATCTTGAATTATATGAATGGTTATTGTTTATGATGGATACACATAGAGTGATTAGTATTATTGATACAAGTGTACCTACGATGTTGGATATGGATGTACCTGTATCGATGATGTCTAATTATGATGTATGTCTTGTTAGTGTTATTTAAATGTCTTACATGTGTTGTACATGGATGAGATATATTCTCACTCTTTGTGTTTGTTGTAACAACCCGATTTTCACAAATTATATGAAGGCTCAAAGCCCAATAAGGTGAAGTTAGATGAGAAAAACACATAGAAGGAGGGTTGAATATGTGTCTGAATGTGAACAAAGGAATTTAAAAACATTTTCGCAAGCATGCTTTTTTTCGTTCAATAAAATAATATTCGTAAATGCCAACCACAAATTCCCAGGATTGGTTCAACAATATATTTTTGTGTCTAGAAATTTCATCGTCAGCTAGTAAACAATACTACTTAAACAAAAAACTTTTCTTTTAGGAATCAGTTGAACAAGTATGGTTTTCATCTGAAGATAGTTTTGATAGACGACAAGCATTAGACGAAGTTTTCAATATATTAAATCAATCAAATAAAGTGCGTCTAAAATATTAGAGTGTAGAGCAAGTATTTTTATACTAGTTCACTCAAACTAAGCTACGTCCAGTCTCCTTCAAATGAAGGGTTCCACTAGATAAACAATTAACTCCAAGTATTGTTTGTTCAGGCTCGCAGTGAGTATTATATGGACCTTAGGAGGATGTATCAGAGTGGTGCAGCGGAAGTGTAGTTGCCTTAGATAAAGAGAGTAATAGAGTAATTTGTGTACCTATGTTTAGTATGCTCGAATAGTATGCTCGAAGTCTTTAGAAATTTTGTAGCCTTTAGACGTCTCATTTTGGAAACGAGACGATGTGTGGATAGGCCTTAGTTGTAGGTTTGTCTGAGGTGCTTAAAGAATTGATTCTTTTTGAGTTATAGTGGATAGACTCATCAAGTATACTTGCCTTATCCTTGTTGATAATAGATATTCCTTGGAAAAATTGATAGAGTTGCATATCAATAAGGTAGGGAGGTTGCTTGGGAATTAGGAAACAAAATGCGAGGAGCCTACCTATTTCTGTTTTCAGGTGAATTTCGGGGACGAAATTTCTAAAAGGAGGGGAGAATTGTAACAGCCCGATTTTCACAGATTGTTTGAGAGCCCAATTAAGGTGGTTTAGTAGCCCGGAACGGACCGTTCCAAAATTGGAACAGGTCGTTCCAAATTACTAAATAGACCTACTTTTGGTAGCCCAGAACGGGACGTTCCGGATTTGGAACGGGCCGTTCTGGATTTGGAACGGGCCTTTCCAAATCATAAAATTTGTCTATGATTCTTAGTTGGGAACGGGCTGTTCCCAGCTGAAACGGGCCATTCCGGATTTTAGAAATGGCCTTTGAACCTTATTGAGAACGGGCCGTTCCGGTTTCAGAACGGGCCGTTTTAAAATTTGACCGTTGAGAGTTTTAATGCAAACCCCAGAACGGGCTGTTCTGGATGTAAATTTTACACATGACGTGAGATTCCAGAACTGGCCGTTCCGGATTTGAAACGGGCCGTTCCGCGAATCCTGATGCCTATAAATTGAGTGTTCTAGCACTCCTAAAATCATATTTTTCAGTTCTGACTTCTTTCTCCTACATTCTCTTCTTTTCCTTGAACACTCTCTGAAGATTGAGGGGCACTTAGAGAAGGAGACCAAGAGATCTCTGTTTTAGTTTCAACTGTTGTTTATCCAGGTACGGGGGAAAAGAGGATTATTTGTATGCAAAGTTATATGAGGGAATTGGGTAGAAGAGGAAGCTCGTAGGATTATGAGTAATTTTATAATTATTTTTGTTTAGAGAATTATTGGTCTTATGTGATTCTGTATATATTTAGGACTACGAATATATGATTAATTTGTAAAAATGATGCTCTGGGAGAGATTATAGAAAAGTGCCTGTAAGTTAGGTTTTGGAAAAATTGGATTATTTCTGTTTGAGAAATTGATGATCCCATTAGATTCTGTATGTGTTGAGGATTAGAAATATATATTTAATTTGTAAGAATGATAATCTGAGAGGGAGAACGAAACTGTAGAAAAGTGGTTCTCTTTTTCCTACCCATGAATTCAACAGTAGTTCAAAAGGTTAACCTATATCGAGGATCCCCAGACCTATGCTTATTTTCAACTCCCCAAAGCATTTCGTCGCTTACTTCTCTAGGTTGCTTACTATTTGACTAGATTGACTAGGAAAAAGTTTTCTTTGTAAGTAATAATAAATGTGAGAGTAGGTTTCAAACTCTTAAGGAAAGATTGGATAATGTTACCGGATTTTAGTAAGTCTTATGTGGTATACAGTGATGCTTCTAAGATGAATTTGGAGGTAGTGTAGATACAAGAAGGAAGGGTAATAGCTTATGTTTCTAAGCAATTGAAAATTCATGAGAGGAATTACCTTACCCATGACATTGAGTGAGCAATCGTGATATTTACACTAAGATTTGGAGACACTACCTATATGATTCTGAGCCGGAGGTATTTATTAATCATTAGAGCCTCAAATTTTGTTTGACCCGAAGGACTTGAATATGAGACAATAGAGATAGTTGGAATTTCTTAAGGACTAGGATTTTAATCTTAGTTGTTATCTGGGTAAAGTCAATGTAGTAGTCGATGCTTTGAGTAGGAAACCTTTACATTCATTTTCACTTAAGATTTGAGAGATGGACCTTTTGGCTCGGTCTATGGATTTAAGTTTGAATTGTGAAGTTACTCCTAGTAGTGCGAAACTAGGTATAACTTGAGTAACAATTGAATTGTTGAAGGAAATTGAAGACGTATAATTAATTGATTCATTTTGGTGACAAAATATGAGGCTATAGGATATTTGAGATGTGAAAATGATGAATGATTGATAAATTATGATATATATAAATGCTTGTAAATAACATTTCAAGTTATGATGAGATGATGTTGTGGATTTCCTTGTGTGCTTTATATATAAATGTTTTATTTTCTCACCGTACAATTTGTGGATGTTTTAGGGGAGGAAGATCCGGCTTTGAGTGACATCTAGAATGTCAACTGTTGAGTTGTGGGTGTGCTCTGATATTGTGACATTGGGGCAGAAAATTCTAGGATATGGAATTTTTATATGGATTTAGAGTTATATTTATTATTTTTAAAAATAATTTGTAAACTCTCAAGTTTTACTTTATAAATTTAATTTTTAATTATTTTGGTTATTTATGAAGGTTTTATGTGAACCCTTTTTACCAACGTTGAATATTTTATTCTTTAGTTTATTTACAAGATTTATTTATATATGTGTTGGGGTAGTAAGAGTGTTACATCACAAATTTGTGATGGATTTACTTCATCACAAATTTGTGACAGATTTGTAATTTCGTCACAATGTGTGACGAATTTGTAATTTTGTCACAATTTGTGACGGATTAAATCCGTCACGAATTTGTGACGAAATTTGTGACAGATTAACTTCATCACAAATTTGTGACGAAATTTGTGCCGTTGATAGGGATGTTGGCCTCTCAAGAGGGGTCTATTTCATGATATTTCACTTTTTATCGTGTTTTATTCTTGCTTGCACAATTTCTGGGAGACTTCCCAGAAGGTCACCTATCCCTATATTACTCCAAGTCAAGCACGCTTAATTGTGCAGTTCTTATGAGATAAGTTATCAAAATGTATATGCATGTTGTCAGTATAACTTGTACAAATTAATTCATTTAAGTCATCCTCAACTATACAATCTCATACTTGTACTATAATAATAATATAATAATTTTATATTACGAATATTAGCTTAGTCTGAGCATCTGAGCTTAGTCCTTTGACTTTTCTCTTAATCTGGTCAACATTACAGGTGGACAAACTTTGTTTTTCGTCTAGAATACCTTTCAGTCTGTGCTGTCCTTAGTCTGATACATAGTTGACTCTCTTTTGACCAATGCTTCGTCTAATTTGCGCTCTAGGTTGTTCTTGACACACTTTTTTTTCCTGATAATAGACTCATAGTCGTCTGGTGCACATATCAACCTTTATCTATTCAGTTAGCTTGATTTGTCTGATTCTCATGATGTGCCTTTCCTTCACTTAAAATAAAGACAAAGGAAGCTAAATAGGAAAATCTAAATGAGAAAGTTTTCATTACACTACATTATCCATGACCAACTAAAAAGGCAGAATAGGTTGTCAATATGAGACTCACTATAAAAATGAGAAAGCTATCAAAAATATTATCAATAAACAGCACATGTACGAGCTAATTATAAAATTTATAAAGTAACTGACCTAATGGTAACTTCCAAGTATTCATGAAATACATAAAAGCTCCAAACCTGAAACATACAAAATACATGAAAAAAGTTTAAAAGTTAACTTGCAACAACCAATCAAATTAATTAAAATTAAGAAGTTATGAAAAAAATTACATCAAGAAATGTGTTAAAACATAAAACACCTTTTTTCTTAATTGGAAGGGCTTTCACAATAGCTAATTGCTTTGGAGTGTCAAATAACCATTTAACAGCTTTGACCCATTGATGTTGATTAAGGTTTGGTATCAAAGATGCCTCAGCTGACACTTCTTAAATAAAAGCATTTTCATCAACCGCAATATCAAATGCTTGAACAAGTCTCTTTAAAGATTCAGCCACTTCTTTCAATGAATTAGATTTTTCATCTTTTTTCCCCTTCTTTCTCCTCTGAGATTGTGTGCTAGTAGAAGTTGAAGATTAACCCCTTCTTTGTGTAGTAAAGCTAGGTTCATCTAAATATATGGTAACACTATCACCCTCTAAACCTAATTCCCCCTTCATTTATTTATCTGCTCATGACCTCATCAGCATCCATAACAGTCTCAACTTCATGTCAAGTGGCTCTATCTTTAGCACACAAGTTCACTATATCATCCCAGTTTGCAATCACCTTGAGTCGAAGTTGTCTTGCTTCTTTATGGGCCTTGAAAACAAAAGAAACAAGTCAATAATAGGAAAAAAAAACAATATTTACATTGCTTTAAATAATGATAATATAAAATTACTTACATTAACATACTCATTCCAAACATTTTCATTGTCAACTGTAATCGTGTGTTTTATGTCATCCCAATCACTCTTAATCTGGTCAACATTACAGGTGGACAAACTTTGTTTTTCGTCTAGAATACCTTTCAGTCTGTGCTGTCCTTAGTCTGATACATAGTTGACTCTCTTTTGACCAATGCTTCGTCTAATTTGCGCTCTAGGTTGTTCTTGACACACTTTTTTTTCCTGATAATAGACTCATAGTCGTCTGGTGCACATATCAACCTTTATCTATTCAGTTAGCTTGATTTGTCTGATTCTCATGATGTGCCTTTCCTTCACTGTTCTTCATTTGAGTTGACCATTTGGCTTCATCTGATGTTTGTATCTCAGATCATCATTCTTACAAATTAAATATATATTCATAATACTAAATATATACAGAATCATATAAGACAAATAGTTCTTTAAACAGAAATAATTATAAAATTACTCATAATTCTACGGTTTCTTCCTCTACCCGATTCCCTCATGTAACTCTACATATAAATAATTCCCTTTTCTCCCGTACCTGGATAAATAGGAACTAGGGCAGAACCTCCTCCTCTTTTTCCTTAAACAGGAACTGGAACTAAAACTAGGGCAGAACCTCCTCCTCTAGATTCCTCTTGGTCTTCAGAAAGAAGAAGAGGGAAAGAAGAGAGAACAGAAGAGAAGAAAGAATGAGAATGAGAGATGTTTGAAAAAATGAGAAGTGAAGCTCCCTATTTATAGGAATTTTGGCTCACCTACCACTACGGCCTGTTCTAAAAGCGGAACGGCCCGTTCTGGACCCTTCAAACCTACGTAAATTTCTCAACTGGAACGGCCCGTTGTAACACCAGAATGGCACGTTCTCAAACCCAGCAGAACGACCCGTTTTGCTTCCAGAACGGCCCGTTCTCTAATTGGAACGGTCCGTTTTGCTTATACATTTTGGGCATTCTAACTATTCTGGAACGGCCCGTTTCAATTTTGAAACGGCCCGTTCCAGGCCACGAATTGGGCCTTTGGCCCACGAAAAATGGGCTATTACATTAGTTATAAAAAAAATATTAAGATCATATACTAAATTTTCAATAAGATTTTAGTTAAATAATTTAAAATAATTAATGTTTCAATTATATTATTAATTAGCAAATAATTAATTCCAAAGCTAATTAATTTTTTCTATATTAATTATTAGTAAAATTTAACAACTTTTAATTTAACAATTGGATTGATGAAATTCAACACACCATGAGTTATTGAGCGAAATTACTTTACCAAAAGTTATTTCGTAAATTATTCAATTCCTCAACTCTCTCTATCTCTATCCCTCTCTCACACATAGAGAGAGGATGATTATATTAACACCGGTGTAACTTTTACTAAGTATTACACATCGCTTAATAACTTTATATTAAATGTAAATTTTGTAAATTCAACTGTTAGATTACTACAAAAATATAATAAATATATAATAATTATATTATGAATAATAATAATAATATATTTAATTAATCTTTATTTATATATACTTAATTTTATAATTAACAATCTATTTATTTCTATTTAAAATTATAATTTAAATTATTTATTTTTATAATTTATAATGATAATATAATTTATAAATTACAAATATTTATTTATTACATACTTATAAATTAAATTTTAACATTTTAAATAAACTATTAAATAATTTAATATATTTATTTATCTTAAATCAAAGATATAAAATTCAAAAAATGTATTTATCCTTATTTTGTATATTATTATATAATTATAACGGTTCGGATACACCAAAATGATAAGAATCCAAAGATAGTACAAGTATAAGATTGGATAGTTGAGGATGACTTAAATGAATTATTTTGTACCACTTATACTAACAACATGCATCTATTTTTTGGTAGCTTATCTCATTAGAACTTTATAGTTAAGCATGTTTGACTTGGGGTAATATAGGGATGGGTGACCTTCTGGGAAGTTTCAAGAAATTGTGTAATTAAAGACAAAACATGCTAAAAAGTTAAGTATTGTGAAATAAAATTCTTAAGAGGCCAAATATGAGTGGTTCATAGCGACCAAATTCGCGACGTCTATAAAATTTAATAAAATAAAAAATAAATATTTAGCGACCGATTTAGCAACCGATTTATTTGGTCATTAATTTGGTCTCATACACTTCAGCGACCAAAATCATTGCAACCATTTTTGTAACACCCCAGTTTTTATTTCATCCTCTCTCTCTCTCTCTCTCTCTCTCTCTCTCTCTCTCTTAGAGAGAGAGGAGGAGTTATACTAACACCGGTATAACTTTTATTAAGTATTATACATCGCTCAATAACTTTATATTAAATGTGAATTTTGTAAATTCAATCATTAGATTAAAAGTTCATATCACTTTTTATGTTTATATCAAATTTTGTTAAATTTGAATAACAACGTGAAGGTAATCTAAATGTTCGTATTTTAGTATATTTTGAAATGTATATATTACAATAATTTTGTTTTATAAGAATGAAGTATCAAATCATCTTGGATTAATATAAATATTTGTACATATGATTTAAGAGTAAAGAATTTTCAATTTAACGGTTAGAATTATTATATATATATATATATATAATTTTATAGACCTTTATTTTTATATGATTGTCATTTTTCGTAAAAAGTTTTTACATTTTTTACAAATATAAATTTTCCGATGGATTAATTTGTCATAATTTTTAAAAAAAATTAACATATATTCTTTAATTCTACATAATTCTTACATATAAAAATTTCATAAATAAAATTTAATATTTTGAGAGGGATCAATAATTCCTCACAAATTTCATAAAATATTTTAAGCTATTTGTGACGGAATTTGTGACAAAATACAAATGTTGACAAAAAATTTCGTCGCAAAATCCATTACTGACTTATTTATTATAGTATTATGACGCATTTTTGTGAGGGAATATTTATAGAGGAACTTAATCCGTCACTAATTTTATTTTTTTTATTCAGTGACCGATTTTGTGACGGATTAATTTTTGTCTCTAAAAAATCCGTCACAAAATCCGTCACTAAATAAAAAAATAAAATTAGTGACGGATTTTGTGACAAATTATTTAGAGACAAGATTTAATCTGTCACAAAATCCGTCACTGAATAAAAAAATAAAATTAGTGACGAATTTTGTGACGGATTTTTTAGAGACAAAATTTAATCTGTCACAAACTTCAATAAATGGTAGTTCATCACAAAAATTAAAATTCCCTCACAAAATTCGTCACTATTAGTGACGCTATTTTTTCCGTCACAAAATTCGTCACAAATATTAATTTTTCTAGTAGTGATAAGTTCTCATAATTTTGCTTTTTGTCATATTCTAAAAGGTTTCATACCAATGAAAACAATATATGTTTTGGAAGCACTTGTTTCTCTTCATGTTCCAATAATAAGAGAATTTGTTTATACTCCTAACACCTTCATAGCACCAAAAATGGTTACAACTTTGCAATAATTATAACATCATGTAGAGATCATCAAACAAGAAAAATAGGATTATTATCTAGGTTAAGCCTGTGTAATTTACTATTTTTTTATTATTAAAATGAATAATTAGTCTAAATAGATTCTGGTCATTTAGATTTAGTGTCATCACATTGTAGTTGTCTCTACTATTATCGAAGACCCAGTGCTTTGATATGTGAAGCCAAATTAGGGTTTAACAAAAGCAACAACAAAATCATAAAAGAAAAAACAAATTCAAAAATTAACAGAGAAAGGTACCTTTAATGGTGTGTGAATAATTTTATTGCTCTTGAGCTTGATGGATATGGTTTCGCTGTTCAACTTTGAGAAACATGTTCAAATTTTTATAAAAATATTTTAGCCTCATATTGAAAAGTTAAGTTGTTAGTTAGTATAACACACCAATCTTTGCTCATTAGATTGAACATATTGATCTCTTGTATCCTTGATTTCACCAAGTTCAACATTAGATTTAATCTCCCAAAAACATTGGAATTGAAATAAAAATTGAATGAGATAACAGTAATTACTATGAGCGAGATTCAACTGAGAAGTTTCTGAAAGAGAGAAAATATTCTTCATTAGAGAAAGAATATTAAAATGAGAGAAAAAGTAATAATAGTCACACGAGAACTCTTAAAATAGTTGATTTCTAGTATTAGGAATATAGAGTTTGTTAGTTTTATTATTCTTGTTTCTGTTTCTAACTTTAGTTAGTAGGTAATTAATTTTTATATTTGTAAAAATACTTCAATGCTTATATAATATTTACATTCAACATTTTATGTCATATATAATTATAATAATTTTGACAGGTAAATTTAAAGTATTTTTCTAATAAAATATTAAAATAAATAGTTATTATACAAATAAATTGTAAAGAAAAATATTTGAATGATAATATTATAATTTTAAAAAATGTTACTACATAAATAAAATAATAATTTTATATAATATAGTTAAGATTATAATTTTTAGTAATATGTAAAATTTAAACACATTACATTTAAAGTTAATTACTTTTTAGAAAAGTATATGTAATGCAAATAAAATAGTAATTTTGTTTTTTCAACATAATTTATATTATATATTACTAGTATAATTGAGATACTTCGTGCCTCTGTATTTTACTTAATAAAGATGTTTAAGAATCACCAACGTTTACCAAATCAATTGGTGCTATGATTGGTTATGAAGTCTTAAGATCTCACATTGGAGTCTTGAGTTTGACCGGTGTAGTTAATTTTCAAAATTATTTTTTATTATTTAAAACTTTAAGATAAAATCATCGGAAAAAAATGTGTAAAAAAACATTTATAATTTTGTATTTCCTTTATACATAGGTATAAACTGATTTATGTTAACTATATATATATATAATATGGTTAGTGTGCACCAAATATCAAATAATGTTAAAGTTTATATACCCTTATATTTTATTTTTATCATATTCTATTCTCATATCATAGTCTATAATTTTTTTCTTAATTATCAAACGGGCCTTTGGTTCTTATATCTCTATCCATTTTGATGCATG